CCAACGTAGCGCTGTATTTGGCCTTCGTTTGTAGGGAATTGGAGTAGTTGAGATGACAACGATGATGTTTTATTTTGGTAGTCGTGGAACTATTGCGAGGGTTTTTGGCTCGGAGGCCGGGTTTTCCCTTTTGCAACGCCTTTTTTTTATTTTGTTTTTTTTATTTTTCGGTAGTTTCCGTACGTTGAGCAACACACGGTGGTGGTTAATTACTAGCGTTAGGAACCAGGGAGGGTGTTCGTGTGTGTGCATGCTGTACGGGCAACCCGGCAAGCACTCCGGCTCTAGGAGTGATCAACAAGAGGAGTCTTCGAAGGGGCGTGGAAGCGGCGAAGGGGGTGGTAACCATATCAGATATGTGCTGCAGGAATGCAGCACAATTGTGTACAGCACCTATACGCCACGCTGGCCTACGACACCTAGTCTACACAAGTACGTTTTTGTCGCTGCTCTGCACGCCTGGGTGTACTGCTGTGCCCTGGAACGCTCTGATCTCCCATTACAACATGTGCTGCCCTGAACCTCTCACCTTTAGTAGCCATCGGCCAACCCTTATTAACACGTGTTACGGACCCCAGGTGGGCAAACGACAACTCCACGCTTTGCTCTGCTCCCCTGCTGTGTGCTGTGCTGGCGCTGGTGCTGTGCGAGGTGCTCGCCTCTCGCCTCCTAATGTGTCGGTTCGGCAATGAGAACCTGGTTCGGAGCTACTGAGGTCCAGCAAAGGCGGAGAGGCGGAGAGATCGCCTCCCCCCTCCGCCTGTCCGCTCTCTCCTCCTCGAGAATTCCTCTCCCTTGAGGAGGAAGGCGGGAATGGGGGGTGTCGCACGTCACAGACATATTTTTCCACCTCACCTGGAGCTAGTGAAGGTTGCCCGATGGTATTTCAAGGTGACAACGGTTGGGAAGCTACCACAGCGACAAAGCAGCGTCAGCACTGCTGTGACAAACGACACGGCATCCTGCACGCTTACCAGGTGGTACACCGCAGTTCGGCAGCACATTTGTGGTAAGGGTTCCGCCCTCTTCGCCTCGTCCATGCCTCTTGGAAGCTTCATCCGCGGCAATATTTTCAATGTGCTTGAGTTTTCTTTCACTCAGTCGAGGAAGCGTGAACAGCGATAACTGTATCAGGATCTCACGAAGTTTCCATAGCACTTGAATCGAGCTCGAACCGAACAGTGGTACGACTCAGGACGATTCAGGGCGATTGTTGATTAGGTAGGAATCGTAAAATCATAGCACGATTTCTGATTGGTCGGCCATCTATACTGAGTACTCCGCGGGCATCTCTCTCTCGTCTCTCGTTGACGCTTGCTTCGTTATTGTTCGAAGCAAAATGAGTGGGATGGAAAAGTGGGAAAGGAATATGAATGTGACACAATTCATGGCCATCGCGCCTTTTCGGCCGGGGTTAGTAAGGGGCGCCCCCGTGAGTGCCCGCATACGGAATGTGGGCGTAACAAGAACGCCATATACTTCGATTTTGCTCGTATTTTCCCGTTGATCTGTAGGCATGGCCCAAACACATACGCGTGCGCGCCAAGTTTCAAGGCTGAATAGAAACTTCATGCCGGCGTAAGCTGAAGAGACTCGAAAGACTACTGCCATAGAGCTTCAAGCTGCCGTTCTTTCTGTTAATATATAGCGCAGAATGCTCTGGAATACTAAGCTAGTTACTGCTTTCAGTTGGGATATGCAATGATGAATGGTGTGCTACTAGTATATTGTTCGTATTGCATATGCGGAAAGTTTGTTCCGCTCAAGTGAACAATCACTCGAGGAATATTCTAAGGAGAAAGTATTGAGCTCCTGGACCGGTTCTCTGGAACATTCCCAGGAACAGCCTTTTGTCTACGACGTAGAATGGTTCATGAAACTACTCCAGGACCGTTATGGTCGCGGTTACTAAGAACGGCAATTGAGTTACTAAGAATGGTATTTGAGTTACGTAAGAACGGTATTCGGGTCCCGGAACGTTGCCGGACCGATCGTTGAATTCTTTGGACGTGTGTCTGTCGGTCGGTACCGACAGATATATTTTGGACACTCTTGCCTGCCAAGTTCACTCCCAACTTTAACCCCTCCCCAAACAATCTCAACAAGTATGCTGTAGTCTGAGCAAGGCTCACGACAATAATAAAACAAGTTACGAAATCATCAAAGGTCTTCACATACATGCACACACTACACTCGTTTAACCACCAGCTGCTCCACCTCTGCACGACGAGAGAGAGTAGAGCCTGTTATGTCAGTAGTTTTGCTGCTGCCTGCTGCTGTTTTCGCGCACGCACCTGCAAACTTGACACAAGCCACATTTGCCACAACATATCTAGCCAACATCACCACGAACCATCACCCATACATAGCCTTGATTTCCATGACTTTCAAAAGCGAGATTTTCTCCGATTGCTTCATTTTTTCCATCCGCTCGGCATGGGCAAGACGTACATTGGTGTCGCGTCGAGCAAAAAGGTTAGGTCCAACGGACATTTTGGGGACATAATACAACTAAGGAAATGTTTGTGCGCACGGACGGCGAGTCGGCGGTTCTAGCACTTTTTTCTGTTTAGGATTAAATAAATACAATATTGTTCAAAGATACATAAGAAAGAACACATTCGAGACGGTCGGGGGTAGGCTTGGGACAGGAACGGGAAGTTTTGGCGGGTCTGGGGGTCGCGACAGGGATGTGCAGGGTGGTGATTTGGTAGAGGGGTTGTGCTTATACCCACATCATCTTTGTGTCACGGTGCCCCCACCACGACCGACGGAGCTACCCCCCTCCGTTATTTCTCATAATAAATTGCCACCAAATACCGAAGAAACGAAGTTGTACGAACGTCTACGAGGAAAATCGTCTATCTCAGCACCACCTGCTTGGAGTGACCTCGGGCTATTGCAACCAATAGGTATGATCCAGGTGCATCTGACCACGTAAGGTTCAGAATGTTGCAGTGAAGTGGCAGAGGTACAGAGGCCACTGCGTAGTGATTTGGGGGGAGATTAACGGCAAAGAATAGTTTAAGCAGGGCGGCGTGTGGCGGAAAATGTGTACAATGGGCAAAGGGTATTTCCGCTCAGCTACAATCAACGTCACATGCCAGCCAAACGCATGTCGAGGTTGGATCTAGGGGAAGACGTGTTGGGTTGAATATACGTGTTGAAAGAAAGGATTCGTGCGTGCGCTTGCTTTGACTAGGGAACGCGACGTAGCTTGTGAGAACCGAAGCAAATTGTTCCCGTGATTTTCTGAATAGATGACGACAGCACTGCATTCGGCTGCCGGTCGTTGGGAAGCACTACTTACTCCGTGAGGACAACATTTGATAGGGACTTTTGTCCGTGATTCGTGCTGCCAACTGCGATCACTCCTGTTACGATAATAGGTGGTGGTTCCAGGCCCAAAGGGGAGTGTGGGGCGGATCCGACCACTGTTGGCAAGGTATCAAGCATATGGTTTACTCAAGCTTGTTGGCCCCCTCGCAGCGTTGGCACAAGCAAGGGCAAAGAGAGCAGGCACGTAGCGTTCACATCGATGCCCTGTGAAGTTCATTGTTCGCTTGTTACAAAGGTCTCTTCATATCACAGAAATATTATTAAACAAGTCGCTTTGTACGTCGCAAACGTGGGCTTGGTGTATTCCTTCTGCCGAAACGGCGAACATCTCTTCGGATCGCGACAAAAAAAAAGGTCAGCGCCCGACGTAGCCACGGGACTCGCGCACCGTGGCACCAAGTTTCCGGCCGCTCAATGCCGTCTCCCAAGAGACCGATAACCGAGCCTAGCTTTGTGAGCTCTTTTGATGCCATTGAGCGTGCGGTTAACTAACGACGCTCCTGCGGGAATCTCCTTCCGCGACTCAATGAAGTACTGTACGGCCGCCGGCTTCCCGGAAATGGTGTTGGCTTGGTTACCCTGCGATGATGAACACCACGCCACGAATGGCAAAAGGACGCTTGAACCTGGTCAACCTTGTCAACGTCGTCCCCCAGGTACCTACCTGTCTTCCTCTATCAACCATCGAAACATACACCAAGCCTGCCAGCCCCACAAGTATGCTTTCTAAGGCGATATCGTATACGTGAGGGGTTGAGGAAAGCTCCAAACCAGAGGTTCGGACAGCTTGCCCGGCACAGACCCAATTCCCGCTTCGATTATCAACTGCCTCGACCCCAAGTCTGTGCGCGAAATTCGACTTTTGAGCGCAGCTATCTCGCGTCAGATTCCTTTCGAATTTGGTCGCTTGGACTGGTGCTAGTCCTAGTTGCAGCAGCATTCGCCGCACGAAACTTTGCCAATCCTTGCCACCGTGCACAAGTGAAGGAGGGATTCCAATCAACCTCCTTCGCTTCTTCACCAAGGCCACTGCCCGGTCGGCGAGCCATTCCGACAGCATCTCATCTCTGGTGTTGCGTTGGGGCTGCAATGGTCATCGCTACTGTGTCTATCTCCGATCCCAACACCACAAGCTTTGGTCACGCAATAAAGATTAACAAGAATGAAACAACAAAGAGTTGCCCGGAAGATCACGAAGACAATGTGGTCATCGCTACCGTGTCTATTTCACATCCCAACACCACTAGCTTGGCCATCCAATAAAGATTCACACGCAGCAACAACAAGAACAAAACACCACAAGTTAACCTTGTAAGATCACCAAGAGAAGCTGAAAACATAATACTCTAAGGTTTAAACTAACCCAAGGGAGAGCAAACTCTGTATATTAGAGTAATAACCATATTTGGCAGCTTGTGGGCGGTCAATAGGAAGGATTGGTTCTCCCCCCTTCCAATAGCATGCGGTCATCGGACGTGCATGATTCTGACGCGCCTTTGCCCCCTGGCCAGCACGGGAACTACCCGATCTCTAGTCTATGATAAATACCAAGATAAACGAAAAAAATACCGTCCCGCCCTCTGCTCCTGCTACCTCTTGGGGTACGGCAGCGGGTGGGAAACGGCATGGGCTGCTCTGGAGCAGCGACGGATGCGAATCAATCACTCAAGCCAAACAATCAAGCACACACAAGGGGTAAGGCTGAGCGCGACAGCCATAGTAAAGGCAGAGAGGCCGAGTCCGAGCGTGGTAACGCTCGATGAACCCGTAGAGAGCGTGCCGTCGTTCTGGATATGTACAGTACCACCGTCCAAGATTCAGGGGCGGGCGGGCATCTCAGGTTAGAGAGCAAGCGAGCAAAATGATGCCGCGACGTCCTGTTGTCTTGCTGCACTATGTGCGTACACGAGTAATCAATCGATCAATCACTGCGACGAGGTAGACAAACCGGAACCAAGCCAAACCAAACCAAACCAAACCAACTACGGTTTCTTACCAAGGTTCCACAATCAACGTAGAAACACGCCACTAGTCCTTGCCCAACGCGTTTTCAAAGAACATACAGATGTGCATAGGAGTTACAGTACGCAACGTCCCACCTGTTCGTCTTCGTCGAGCGTCCCCGTGCACGAGTCCACGATCCCGAAGGTGCGGTTGAAGTCCGTCTCGTCTCCCAGCTCTGTGATGCCCAGGAAGCTGCCGCCGCATCTCTCGAGTCCTCCACAATACCCGCCATCGGGGATGATTTGGGCCGGGTAGTAAAACAAGAAGTCCATGCACCTGTGTGTGTGTGCGTTTTTATTAGCATCGACCACGGTGGCTGGCTGACCAATGAAAACACGTGAGTCTCAGTGCGGTGGAAAACACGAAAATTCTGCTATAGGCCACTATCTGGGACCCTGTGACCGAGTGTCATGGGGGAGACATCGCTACTCTCCGGACTAAAGACAGATACCGTAGCAATAACAGAAGAAAACTGCATGTGTTTGCCATGGCTGCTACTGCTTTGGGTGCGCATGCGTTTTGGGTTGCTTTCATCGTCTTCCCTGAATTTATTACCCCCACTCTCGTCGCCAGTATTCCCACTACCTTTTGGCAGGTCCTCTCCAGTCCGGCGTTTATTGTGAGGAAGGTCATGCGGCTCAAACCCTTCGCTCTCTTCCACGCCATATTTTCCTCCTCCATTATCGCGTTCATTCTCCTTTCTTTCCTTTCCCCTTCCTTCATCTCCGTCACTCCCACAACAACTACTCTCAATACCATCGCTATCGCTTTCACCAGAACTACTACTGAAATCCCAACCTATTGGCCGCGGTGGAAATTCGTCGATCAGTACTCCATGACGTTTGAAAACATCACGAGTTGGTACCGACAGAAAACGAGCCAGCTCGAACGTAAACCGTGTCCGAATTTAGGTAGTATGGTAAGCTTTCAGGCGAAGCAAGGCTGTCTCATCGTCGATATTCCCCTGCCATATTCTTCGTAAGCTGAGTGGTTGGCGATAGCTACGACGAATCGATTGGTGCCTTGGTCAAGGCCACCATACGTTGAAAAGCAGCACTATGGAGGGTAGATCTAGATGGGTTGGAAGTTCTCGCATACTGGTGTGTTTTTCTCAACACCACGTTGAGTTGTTTTTTCGAACGAGTTGGGGTGGCGGGCACTAAGCAATATAGCAAACGGTGCAGCTCGAAAGGTACAGTCTCCAAAAAAGGCACAGTAGAGGACGTTGTGACATTTCGCATCAGTTCCCCCGAGTCTACGTTGGAACCTGCTACCAAAGTGTGACATGTGATACCATATGATGCAGTCTTTGGTTTTGAGAACAGCGCCAACCCGCGTTTGGTATGTCTCGTGTTCTTTCAACAGCCAAGAATGGTGCAGCGTACAACCTCTTATCTCTTGTTCTGACACAAATCTTGTTCTGACCCCTCGCGGGAGGTCAATCTGTCCGAGTCTCCACTCTTAATTGACCTTTTACCTTTTTTCTACTACGTTTGCCATCCCACAATTGCATATTCCTTCAACAACACGCCCATTCGATGCCACTCGTATGATCCGTACTTGTACCGATACATAAGCAACGATAACCTGACACGAAAAATCATTCAACCACGCTTCATCTTTCATTTTTCACGTTTTCTCTGTAAGCTCACAAACAAACTAATAACGAACGAACCAATCAATCAACAATCCTAGAGTGGCCCCACCACTGCTCTGAAACCAAAACGTGGCCTCTCGAAATATCAATACCATGCTTCGCAGCAGTAGCACTCTCTTCGGTCTACGCAACAAAGACCACATCTCATTGTTGAGATCCCTCGCCGAATATTGAACAAAGTAAACGGTGCAGTGGAGGACATACTACATGTGTCTCACATCTCTTGTTCCGACCCCTCGCCGAAGGTGACGTTGGTCGAGTCCACCGAGGAAAGGGAGGTGTCGTAGTAGCAGGTCGTTTCGAACCTGTCTCCTTTCTGAAGAAATATCGAGACAAAAGACAGGCAAGGGAACACGAACGCATTCGGCGGCAGCAGATAGTAAATGTACTGCTACTGTACCCGTAGCTTGGTTACAGTCGACGAGTGACTCTAGACAGGCACGCGAAGGGGGGGGTGGGGGGGCTGTGAGTGTGCAACACCGACACTAAATAGCTGCTATTGTAACTGTGCAAATGGCTCGTCCGGATCCAATTATTTTCCATCCTCGCCGCACTAAGCTTCCTGTATGCCCTAGACACTGCGTATGTATGGTAATGCTCCAGAACTCTTACACATACGACATAGGACATCCAAAACCAACGCGCGAATTGACCACCACAGAGCGAGAACTAGGCTGGCTTTCCAATCAAGGTACCCTTCGCCCAGCGACTAACAATCAAGATACAGGGACCCAGGCCTACCTAGCGTACCCGTTTTTGTTGATGTGAGGGTTCGCGAGGCTCTCTGTTGGTAAATAATTAGCTACGATCGTGCCCCTCTCCAAACACGTACTTGGATAATATCGCTTCCGTTGTGCGCCGTCACGTGACCGCCGGCCTGCAGGAAGGAGTAGTACTCGACCTCGGTGGCGTCGACCAGCTGCTCGTTTCCGTCGCTGTCGTTGCGGTACTGCCGGGTCTCCATCCTCTGCCCGTTCTCGTGCATGTGCAGGAAGTGTGAGTAGACCGTGACGCTCTCGGCCTAAATTTCACGAGAAAAAAACGAGACAAAATGGACACGTCTTTTTCGGGTTTGCGGCAAGAACGTGTGGGCGGTGCGTGGGCGGGGTAGCGGGGGAAGGCTGTGGTTGTCACAGAGACCAGGCAGCTGAACTTGGGTGGATGTGAGTCGATCGAGCACCAGCAGGGACTTCCTTGTGAAGAGAACACAGGCAAGCAAGACCGGGTGCACACTCCAAAAAACCCGAACGCCCACGCAACAGATAGTCCAGCTTGTCACCGACGCCAAACAGAAGCACGTCAACCGCACGCACAAACACACAAATACTAAAGACACACGGCCGCCACTCACTGGACAGGACCCGAGATCAGAAAATAATCACGACCGCTAAATTTGTCTAACACTTGCAACCAATACAGTTCCACAAGTGCACAACAGGAACCAATCAAATCACACTCACCTCGAAGTAAGTCTCGGTGCAAGCGCCGGGGCAGTCGAACTCCACGGAGGATTTCCCCTCCGGCAGCTTGGTCCCGATGAGGTCGACGCTGGGGTCTCCCAGGGTGATCACACCCATGTCCATTTCGCGGATGTCTTCCGTGTAGTACACACGCACGCCCGAGCTGTCTACCTCGCCGGCGTCCCCGTCCGGATTGTTGTAGTGCGTCTCGACCCTGTTGAATTGATTCGATTTGATTTGATGGGATCGATCGATTGATTTCATGGGCCACGTGCTCTGACTGCTCTCAGGACACGGCCGTGGTCACATACATCGGTCGAACGAAGGAGCCACCCCGCAAACGAAACGGAAACGCTCGCATGGCAAAAACGCTATATACAGTAGAGAGCGGTTCCCAACAACAGTATGCCGAGAAGGAACAAACAATACAAAACAAGAAACACCTGAGGGACGTGTACGAGTCGTTGCCGAAGCGAAAGCCCACGTTGCCTGGCAGCTGGACGTCCGCCGACCCTGGTGCCCACGCGAAAATGTTCGCAAACTGTTGGTAGCAGAAGTCCGGGATCGTCATGTTGTTGAAGGTGTACGGGTCGCTGTACGCGGATTGCGAGGAAGGTTCGTCGTCGTCGGGAAGGTTCGCCAGAACCCAGTCGATGCAGTCCTGCCCGCAGTCGTGCGTACCGGTGAAGGCCGTGAGCGTCAAGTGGTGCACATACTTGGAGGTGGAGGTCTGGATGATGCCCTCGAACCCGATGGCGTGGAACTGGGGCCATTTCGTTTTGGAGGGAAAGGTTGGCGGGGAGGAAGGGAAGAAGGGAGGGAGGGAGGGAGGGAGGGAGTGGGCGGGGTAGAGTGTGTCGATACGTCGGATGCATTTACTGCAGAGCTGTGGTTGAATCCAGTTCATGCATACAGGTATTGGTGCATATAAAGCGAGCTGGTGCCTCCATCGTATATCGGGAGGCATGTGTAGCCGATGACTCCATCTCTGTTGCTTCAGTGCAGTTCGACTGAGCTGAACGAATCCAGGACCCAGCCGGGTTCACACAACATTGAAGGAGCTTCCGCCACATACAGTACTTCCTGTCCATAAGTTTAGTGTACCCAATTTGTGCGGGCCCTTAACGGTGTCGGATCTGTATTTGGATTTGTTTTTTGAACGTCTTGGCGCTTTTTGAGTAAAAACCACGTTGTTGTGTCCGACGTGTAAACGTTCAAAATGGGTCAAGAATTGGCTCTAACGGATGAAAAGACACCATGAATCCAGTGCCGTAGGTTGTGGGGTAAAAACCCCTCCTCGTGCTGCTGGTCTCGAGATCTACAAGTGTGGGGGAAAGTACGTCACAATCTCGGAATGGCAGCCGGATCGCATCATGCGATTGCACCGTACTACCGTAGTACGCACCTCTTCGGCAGGCAGTTCCGAGCGAGGAATGCACGAGTTCTCGTAGTGGGTGCGGTTTGTCGGGACCGTGAAGTTTTTCTGCGTTTAAAACAAAACGAACATGTCACCACAGCAGAGTCATCATGAACAAGAAGGGTAGGTACGGATCAGTCCCAGGCTACTGGCTGTAGTTCGTCCTTGAGGGGCATGGAGAACGCTTGCTTTCGTGGGGGTGCGGGCCTACATGTAGACGGAAGCTCGGTCCGAGACGGCCGGAAAATAAGGTGGGTGCAGAAAGTGCTTGGACTATCGTAAAAGGATATGGGAGACCGGTGAGCTCTCCATCGGCAACAAAGATAAATAGATACCGCGACCTACATTCCGGAGTAGAAGCACCCAAGGGACGACAAAAAAACACTAGCACATTTTTCACCATCTTGTAACGGTATCAGACGTCGGAGACATACAGGTGGGACGGAGAAACACCGTTGTGCGGTAACATATTCTCATCGTAGCACTCCTCCGAGTGTAGGGGGTGCACTCCGACGCAAAAAAGAACAAAAAAGCACGAAACATAAAACTCTCTGTGTCTTCTCTCACCGCCGTAACATCGAAGAAAGGGATGTCCGGGTCAGTGGTGAGCTCGAGAATCGGATCGGTGTTGGAGTTTTCGACCCCGCCGTACAGAATGACCTCTGCCTTTGCGAAGTTGGCGGCGTGGTAAGCGATGGTCTCGGAGTCGCCCCAGGCGGCAAGGAGCCGCGTAGGCAAGACATCTGTGTTTGGGTAAATGGTAGTCGATCAGGGGCGGGAAACAACCTTGGCTTCGCCCCGGCTGTAACACACGGGGGACTACACGTGCTGTTGGTGCTGATGTCGGCAGGTGGGGCAGGCGTTTGCATTTCATTTACGGTAGTGATTTTTGTGGTTAAGGTCTGCGGAAACGGCAATCCTTCCGTCCGGGCGTCATTCATTCTCGCCGTTTTGGTCAGTACGTCATACGTATGTATTATATTACATTTGTGCTACTGCCTCTCTCTGCAAACCGCTTGTATAAACGCGGAAGAAGCAAGCCGCTGGGTATGCTTACCGTCCGCACTGTCGTCAACGAACACGTGGTCCTGGGAGTCACCGGTGTCGAGAGCCCTCTCCGCCTCGAACACGAGGCCATCGGTGCCGGCCTCGGCGGACACGAGAGTCCAGTCCTGCGTGCACTCGTCGGTAACGGGCGTACCGGCCACGATCGCGTGCGCATCCGTGACGTTCCCAGTCTGCCGAAAAAGATTGGCAGGAGGGCAGGGACGCCATTCAAAACGAACAACCTTGTGTTTATGAAATTACGAGAGGGAGTCGTTCGCTTTGTTTGCTAAAGTAGATTCGTAGATTCGCAGCAGGAACGAAGCAACGTTCTTGGGTGCGATCATTCATGAAGGTGCCGGAAGAAGAACAACGTATTTATGCATGCATGGAACCAGAGCTCTGTGCGGAGTAAGACCCGCCGCGGTGCGGATTTGTTTTTTGGGGATGTCACGGAGTGTCACGGAACGGAGCGGAATTTCACCGCTGCTTCAACTCAGGACATGCAGATATATTTTTTATTGAGTTCGAAACTCTTGGGTGCGATCATTCATGAAGGTGCCGGAAGAAGAACAACGTATTTATGCATGCATGGAACCAGAGCTCTGTGCGGAGTAAGACCCGCCGCGGTGCGGATTTGTTTTTTGGGGATGTCACGGAGTGTCACGGAACGGAGCGGAATTTCACCGCTGCTTCAACTCAGGACATGCAGATACATTTTTTATTGAGTTCGAAACTCGCGCGGACGAAAATTTCCGACAAGAGTCCGATATACCGTGATATCCGTTGAACAAACCATACGTGCATATAAACCGTGAGTAGAGATGGTTCAACCCGTATCGTTTCATATGCACGGCATAGGTACAAAGGTAAAACCGCTCCATAACAATACGCTTCGACGGATTGTTTTTTTGTGAAAGTATCGCGGAGCGGAGCAGTGCGAGCGGCGTGGTGGATTGATTGTTGTATTTGTCAGGGTACACCTCAGAAAAATTCCCGGGGTTTCTTTCCGGTCGTGGTGGTAATTTCCGTCACATTTCGGTGGTACCGGGAACCGCCGAAGGCGGTATCGGCGAAAAACGAAATACCGCCTTCAGCCTAAAAAGTACGTCCGTATTGCGTGACGGCCTAAAAGGACTACAAAAAAACGGAGAACCGGGAACCGCCTAAAAAGAACCGCCATATTGCAGTACCGCCGTACTGCAGTACCGCCAAAATAGTCAGTCTGGGCAATGCAAGGTGGGAGGAGTAGCTGATCGATTGATCTTATTTGCGTTTTCGACGCTATCACGACTGCCCGTGTGAAGCGTCTACTTCAATCTGTTGCCGTTCTATGATAACTTATGATTCTGTTTTCCGAGGATTTCGATGGATCGCATTTCAGCACACCTCTTATGATATTTCTCGCATTTTCTCTCTTCTTTTTCGTTGCCTTTCATTTGTCCTTGAGGCTGCTCAATTTGACGATGGGTATGCATACTATCGTGAAATCACGAGATCATAGGGGAACTACAGCAGTACTACTATATATGCTCTCAACGGTATACATTACAAAAGACCCACGCCGCGAAGAGAGAAACGAGGTTCGCCGGGGGATACCGCAATAGTCTATTTCATTACCGCCAGGTAACAACAACCATATTTGGTGGTACCGCCATATTTCCGTACTGCCAGAAAATACCGCCATCTTTGGCAGTACCGGGATCCGGCAACGGCGGTACCGCCGGAAAACGAAGTACGGGACCCGCCGAAAAGAGTACCGCCACATTGAAATACGGCCCCGCCTGTATCCGCCTTAAAAGGCCAGTACCCAGGTGTACCCTGTTTATTTCGATTTCTTGAGTGTCACGGAACGGAGCGGTGCGGTTTCTCCGTGGGAAAAAAGCCACGGAGCGGTGCGAATTGGATCACGGTGGTCCGTGAGGACGATCCGCTCCGTACAGAGCCCTGCTTCCCTGCTTACCGTGAACCGTGTCAATCTCTCACCCAGGTCTCGTAATAAACGATGTCCGCCCCCTCCATGCCCCCCATCTCGGAAACCCCGAGGCCTGCCCAGCCCGTGGCCGCCTTGGCGTGAACCGCCACCTTGATGGTCCCGAGGTTGGCGTCCACGGTCCAGAAGACGTCCACGTTGGGATCCACAGAGATATTCCGAGCGTAGCTGGATGCGTCGAAGTCTTGCTGAGCGGCAACAACCTGAGGACCACCGCCGGCGATCATCATGCCGGCGATGATGATGATGATGTGGATCATCGCCGATGCGCATTGATGCGGATTCATCGTTGTTGTTGTCTCGGCAGGGAGAGCCTGTAGTAAATGTGGTGGCGGAGCATGCGCAAGCAAAGCGCGCCGGGTTGGGTTGCTTGTGTGTTTCCAACAGTCCTGGATCACTATACAATAGTCTCGGCTTTCGCGCTCGCTTTATTGCATCAGCCGCCAACTTGCAGGAGCTCCTATGTACAGCAGTAGGAGTCTATGCATATATACACTTACGCATATATACTTGCAGATCAATCGTGATGATCGATGCTGCATGTGGTGGCAACGACGCCACCACTACAGTAATACGCTGATGGCCAACTTTACTTCACATTAGCGTGGCCGGCATGAGAAGAAGCGAACTACAGTACAGCAGCACAGAGAAGTTACTCCTATACCTAAGTTCAGCGTCGGTGTAGCACAAGCGCGCGGGGCAGGTGATAGGTGTTTGGTGCTGGCGAGCTGACGACTTGCCATCAGCAGTCAAGAATGTGTCACAAGAAGAATGGAGTGGAGCATGTGCGAGCAAGCGCATCGGGGTGTGAGGTTGGTTTGTGTTTTTATTATAAGCATCGACCGCGCTAACCGGCTGATCAATGAAAAGACGTCAGTCTTACGCGGTGGGAAACACAAGACACTTCTATCTGCCATGAACTGGGACCCCATGAGGGGTCTGGTTTGTATGCTTGTGTTGCCAACAGTCATACGTGCCATCAAGTCGGCTTTCCGCGCTCCGTTTATTGCAGCAGCCAACTTGCAGTAGCTCCTACATGCTCCTACATGCATGCACATAACGGCGAGAAGAAGGGAACTACTCCAATGAATAGGTACAGCGTCGGGGCGTGGTGCACTAGTACGCGGGGCAGGTCATGGTGATGACCGCTGCCAACAGCGGTGTTCAAGAATGTGTCCAAGAAGAATGAAATAGAAGTACAAATAAAAAAAAGAGCGTTGCGTGCATGCAGCCCGCCTCTGTTGCCCGCATGCACCCTGTGTGAATTTCTTGCGGCTACAGCACCTCTGCAACGACCACCTCTGCAACCAACACCGGCAACTACGATTGTAAATGCACTCTCGTCATAGATCGCGTACCTTGTGCGCAGCTATGTATGTAGCCCTGGAACCTAGGGCAGAGAGTGGGAATGTCGTCGCATCTGGAACCTGGAACAATGGCGACCGAAGGGGTCTCTGTCAGTTTGCTGCAGAACTCACGACTTTTGGTCGAAAACAAGGTTGACGGTCGGAATTTCATTTCTCGGAACATTCCCTGGGGTATTCTAGGTGCAGCTGGTGTACGGCAGCCTTGTTTCGCCCACATGCCGGTCTCTCGAGGGCATCGGACCCTCGCACCTCGAGCTCGCCCATCTCGGCGCCTCTACACCTAAGACTCGCGACACCCAGAGAGCTATAACTAACACACACACCACTTTGTTAATGATCTTACGTAAAACCGGCCAGTCGTGGTGTCATTTCGCCTTTGCCTCATGCTCTTGCTACCGCAGTACTGTTGCAGTTCCTGGATTTTCTTGGTTGAAACCCCGCATGCCGCACCACTACAAGTCCTTACGAACTTACGAATAGACCTCTGCCGCACGCATGTGTACGTGTTTATATGATACTCCGCAATGCCAACGTCGGTCCCAACCTGAGACTCGGCAGTTTGAACCTCCGCTGACAACACGACAACATGGCTCGACTAACTGCATGTTTTGTGCTTTGGTTCCAGCTGCTGGTCTGGTGCTGTTGTTCACGCACAATCAAATGCTGATGACGCTTTACTTGCTTCTCGATATGCAGGTGTTTGACACACGCACTGCACAGCAGTAGTCTTTCGGCGAAGACCAGATACTATCTTCTTCCGCTGTCTTGGCAATGCTTTTGCTTAGGCATGGCCCATAGCGGGGGGGAGGTCTTTCTAGCGAGCATGGCTAGACTCAGCCTCAAGGGACCGATACCTTCTTGCTGCGGCGCACCCGCCGCAAGGCGTGCGTAGTGGTAGAGTTGGGTCGAAACTGGTGCGTCAGGTACAAAGATGCAAATGCGCGGGCCTCATGGCCGTCGGTGTAGACAGCAATGTTCATCTCAGTTTTGTGCGCGGAGGCAGACGCCATCAGAAAGGTGGGCGGGCACTATGTACACGGCCCTAGGTTTGCTAGAGGGAGCTGTACTGTCTCAGTAACCTGGCTTCGCCATCAAAGGGGAGGAGGGAACACAGGTGGTGACGAGCTGAGTGAGAACTGTCGTTGTTGCCAAAAACGGAACAAGGCCTGTCAATACGTCAATACGAGCACGGCTCAAGCAAGGCACGACGGTCTACCATGTGCCGAGCCATGCCCAGGCGAACCCGTGGGCTTGAGGAGGTTGACGCGCAAGCACAAGGGGTGATTGCGCAACGCCTTTCAGACACAGGCTCCCAATTGTTTGTGGCACACGTCGAATTAAGATAGAACAGGTCGCTGTCACAAGCCGAACTTACTTCGTTCGGCTCCAACTGGCCGCTAGCTGCCGCGATGGGCGGGGGGCGCTGGTGGCTGTGGAAAGCGTTGGCGGTAGCCCGGACACCCTTGTCTCTTTACAGTGTGATTTTCGCTCAAGCAAGCGGCATGGGGGAAAACGATCGCGCCTTTCCCCCATTGAAATCGCTCAGCAAAGGCGGGCGGCAGACGACCCCGGCAGCGTCCCTATCGCGCACGACGTCCAAGCCTCGACCAGTTCCAACGCACGACCAGCATCTCCATCTACTTCACTGGGCCGTCCAACCTCCCTCAACCCCGATTCCGGCACCGCACCAGCGGCAATGCCCGATAGTACACTGGTACTTCCCCGGGGGACGCAAGCGAGGAAGGCGCGTGTCCGCCAAGCAAGCATTCCAGGTCATTCAGGCCCATCATGGTCGTGGGTGGCGCTGTTTCCGAAGCAGGGCCCTTTGCAGCAACATCCCTTTCAGCCCGCTGCTACCACGATTCAGCATCCCACCAGGGGGCCCAGCGGTTTGGTTACACTTCCCCCTTGCTGGGACGCAAGGAGGTACCTTTTGATTTGCAGAGATTGCTACTTGGGCCTCGACCGCAGGACCGCCGGGCGCACCAGCAGCAGCTTTATCGCACTCGACGTTCCCATGCGCGTCAAGGCCAAAGGTCGCGGCAGAGGCTGAGGGAGAGGGGGCGTTCTCGCCTGGAAGTGCCACCGCCAACGCGTGGCAGACCGCGTCGAGTCCCACCCTCGCCCAGTGCGCACTGTACCCGTTGTGCGTCTTGCCTTCGTTGTCGCAACACCATCGGCCGTAGAAGGGGATGCGGGAGCTGGGCAGGTGCTTCGTTAACTGTTTCCGACGAGGGAGCCATCGCCTGGAGTGCTTAGATTCGCGGCGGAAGGTTGCCGTGCTGGCGGTAACGCGGAGAGCGCACGGCGGCAGCGATCCAATAGCTCACGCACAGGAAAGTAGGCCGCGTGGAGCACCGGCACAGGGGCTGTGACGGGAACATGGCAATCAACGACGAAAGTTCGGCGGAGACAGTAATTGACGATCGGTAGAAGATTATACCTTTTGGGCGGAGCACCTTACACAAAGATTTTCGCACGAAACCGTGGATTCCCGCATCCTCTTATACGAAAAATGTTCAACTTCTTGCTGCAACTGCGGCCCACTACAACAACGTGATCCTGGGTGAGAGTTGCTCCTGATGCGTGGGTCAAACGAAATTTCGCGGATGCTTCCCGCCGAGGCAAGTAATGGATGGCACAAAACTGTCCCAGTATCCTATTTCCACTTCGGATCACCAATCTGTTCGAACGACACACGTGTAATCGAACCCTAACACAAACCAATGAGCGCACACGCACCACATTTCGAAGGCTGTGACCCGAACGAAGAGTTTGAAGATCCCGGTGCACTTGCCAAGAGGTAGAAACAACCCAACAAACCACTCTCCATTTCATCATGGTGGACTTGAACGGCGTGAACACTCGCCTGGCTTGTCCACCCAGGTGCTCTCATTTTCCTCCCACAAAGCCTCCTTTGCTTGGAAGAACGTGGGCGGTAGCCTATCGTGTACAGCCTCCTCCCGAAGAGCTCCTCGTACCCTTGCCTGAGAGCGAAGGGTAGGAAGGGGGGGACGCAGAGCGAAAGACAATGGGGGTGAATATCAAGCGATAGGGTTATCACATAGTAGCGAGGCCGGCGGGGTCCCTGAGAAGGCGACTGGCGTTCGCCACACACTCGACTGCTGCAACACCCAGCACAACCGCTAAGCTTGCTGTATCCACGCGGTTCAACACGCCAGCTGCCCAATCCAGTTATCCAGCGGCAGCTCCAGATGAGGTTTCCTCTACAAATTGCGAATACCATATTCCTTGAGACGACAACGTTTGGTCACGAGGCGATCGGAGCACTCGGGGCCTTCCTCAACAAGCACTTCATTCCGAAGGGTTCATTTCACACCGCAAAGGAATCTGCTGCCCCCAGTTCCCTGAGGGAACACCAAGGTGCGCGCCCAAAAGTCTTGCACTCCACGCAATCGGAGGACAGCAGTCTCGGCAACATGCAAAACAACGTCTATTGTGAACATAACACCGGCTAGGGTCGCAAGCACCCTGCACTGGGAACCCAATCATCGCTTGGTGATCTCTGTATGCTTGGACGGAAAACAACGGGACTCGAGCCTCCATGCTCAAATCGCTGGTGCGTAGGTGCCACCGGCGACTCAGGAGATGATTCACCCATATCTCGATGAAGGCGGCCTGCCTCTCTAGGCCTCCTCCTCCCCCTCCTCCTCCTGCTCCTCCGCCACCACCACTGCCGTTGCCGCCGCCACACGCGCTTGTGCCATCATCGTCGGCGTTTACGGCTTCTCCGGGTGTTGATGAATCGTTGTCGAGGAGTGCCTCAACCAGACGGACGAGAAGTGCGGCCCCAAACCCCCGCCATCTAGAGTGAAACATGTCCAGCAGGGTTGCCCACCTGCGAAATCGAGAAGGGAGAACCGCAGGGCTGAGGCGGGGGGCTCGAAAAGAGAAGAAACATTTTGCGGAAGGCCGCCAGTCGCTACACTCGTGCGCATCTGAGAATGGATGCGTGAACTTGACATCGTCCGCAGCTGTGAAGACTGCTTGGTCTAACAGCCTTTGCCCACGCGAAGAGATATTTCACAGCTGTACCGAAATGCCGTATCGCGACCATGGCTGCTTTGTCAGCGCGCTACCTAAAGCAAGCAACCTCAAACAAATCTGCACGAACGTGCGACTGAAACACACCGCACAGCAAGCGAAGGTAGGCTCAAACACCCTCGTCGCCCCCCGTGAGAGCGTGTGAATAAACGAGGTTCATACCGCCGGGCATAGATGTATGCCCGTTGGTGGACCATGGGTCGCAAGGGTGCACACCACTCGAATGTATATCAGAAAGTAGGCATGTGCCACCAGGGGCCCTGCCAAATTCATCCTCAGAACGCTGAGTTCACACGAACCCTCTAGGACCCGACTATGCTGAATCTGCGCCACTTTCGCAATGTACTGCACCTCGCGGAAAGACGGCGGCTGACTTGTCGGCTGTCCACTCCTGGGGTGCCCTGAATAGCCGAGGGAGTACATATGCAGCGATGCGGAAGCAGGTCAGGGGGTAAGAAAATAACAGAGGAGCGGGAACAACGACCGCGGAGAAACAGAGGTAGAGGATACCGAAGACGACGGCCGGGTCTGGCGGCGCGCGGCTTCTGTATCATGCGACGAAGCAAGAAAGCGGGAGACATGGGTAAGTAGAACCTCGAGCAAAAACAGTGAAATCTCGGTTCCCCGCTAACAAAGCTTGGACACGATGAGGGGCAACTCTTGAAACGGACAGGAGCACGCGTACTCGCAACGACGCGAAAGGAAGACACCCTTGGTTGCGTTGTTATCTACCAATACATTCGCAATACCAGTTTGAGCACCACTTAAGGACATCGTCACATCACAACCAAGCTCGCCAACTTCACATTCCGTGTTCGAAACCTCTCCCCGAGGTTGTTCTATCCCACCCAACCCCCAACTCTCTCACCGGAGTCGGGTACTTGTCCCTTGAGCGAGGAAGGAGGTGCCCTTGCTCCCTCCCACCAACTCCACCGACGAAATCCCCGCCCCTTACCCTACCCCCGCCGTCCGCGAGCAGGGCAACCACCGCCCAAGACAGGGCGGTCGGCGTCGCGGACAAGGCGATCTCGTGCGCTGCAACCTCCATGGCCGCGGTACCGGGGTTCGATGCCGCTGATGAGCCCCTTCCGCGCGGGGCGCACGGAGGCTTCGAGCTGGAATTCCCGTCATTTATCTTCGATGAAGACCCGCCGCCGGATGCCGCGGAAGACGTCCGCGTTTTTTTGTTGCTTGAGCGGCCGGCGTGGCCGGGGGAGAGGCTGCGCGGCAGCAAGGCGTCGCTATCCCTGGTGGCCTTGTATTTGGGGTAGGGCGGAAAAGGCCCGCCAGATGTCGAGGTTGATCGGAAGCCAGAAAGGTGTTTCCTGTGGATAACAGCCTCGTGCCTGGAATCGAACAGAGGCTTTGGTCCTGGAGACATGTTTACTTAAGTTGCCCTACTTACCGATGAGATATTTTAAGCGTACAGGGCGCGATGTGTCAACACAATTCGCAACAACCGTATTTTACGGGAGTAAGGAGGACAGAGAGTAGAGGGATCGAATCGTCGGCACAATCGCGGGGTCTGGACGACAAGTATTGTACAGCTGTACAGACTGCGTGCAGGAGAGGGCATGAGGGATTACACTGACGCATTGCACAAAAGCTCGGGTGTTGTTGTCATTAAGTATCATTATATAACCGTTTCGCTCTCCCCTCAGTACCTTTTGATGTCCTTCCTGTGGTCCAACTGACGCGGACGCTTTCCGTGGTCACAAGCCAATAATTTACCCGATAACGGGGGAAACCTTTCTAGAAATGAAAAAGTAAACAAAAGCAACCAGAAAAGTCTTCCAAGACACGACTTGTTTTTATGCCCAAACGAGAAAGAAAACTAACCGGGACACGATCGACCCCGGCCTCTTTTAACTGAATTCGCTGCTATCCACGATCAGTTCGGGAACCCGTTTCTACGCCGCAAACGCAGGGCACGCATACCACAAGCGCACAATAATGCATGGCGTACTCCCGCCCGAAAGACCACGCATCGGTCATGAACGAAAAACACCCACCTCTAATGGTAGCCTCATGCAGTCCGTGGGGAAACGATGCAGCTTGCGACTTTGAACGACCAAACCAGGCAACTCCCTTGCCTAGCACAACCACACGCTGGGCAAACCTTGAAGCACTTAACCCAAGCACACTCCCTCTGAATGACACTGTCGACTACAACAGCAGAGTGTGTTTACCATCCCATTTATTTTTTACGTCATTTTTTGCGTTTTGTTTATGTATAATTGGCGCACCAGCCAGGTACCGAAGCAGCAAGCCCACACAGGATTTTCTTGTTGTACTGGTGGGCCAGAGAATGGAGGTCCAGTAGCCAAGGCCCAGTAGCCAAGGTTGTGCCAGGAAGGTGCGTGCAGCAACACTGTTCACACCGGAGGTTACGGTGGTGCACACCTCGGATAGTACCCGTACCCCGTACACGCGCAACAACCCCTCCGCAACTGCACCCGATGCACTCTGTATCTCATAGGACGCCAAACAATATTTTGCTCACCTGCAAATGAGCTGGTCGAAAACACCCCAAACAAAAAAACAAATCCGAGGTGCTCAGCCTGCGGGCTCCAGTCACGCCTCCATAGGTAGTCCATAAGAAAGTCCGCCCTGCACCACTCATCCCAGTCTCGCCAGGGGATCATCCGAGGGATATATAGGCCGGCATCGGCGTTGATAGGGCGAGACATGCGGTACCGCATGCAGCCAGCAAGCACACAAACCAAACACTGCACAGCACCCGCTCCGCACAAACCGAGAGTGCGGCGCAATTGAATAACCGCCTCCGGTCTGCACCCTGAACCGGTTCTCGCGGCGGTTCCATCTTCCATTTTCTTTTTTTTTTCCGCTCTCTTTCGCTTGAGATCACTCTACTCTCCACTCCACACATGGGCATGGACGGATACAGGAAAGCAACTATTCGGGGGGAAACAAAGACAAGCGTCTATACATAAGAAGCAAGGTGGTATTGCGGAAGGTAATGTATTGGAGGGTAAGTTCGTCGACAGTCGTTTTCTTTCGGGCGTCCATGGACGTCTCTCCGAAAACGACCAAATGCTCTGTAGTATACATCCGACCAGTCGCCTATTTGGAATGAGATGTTTAGGAACGGACTTTCCTCTACCAATCTTCCCGTGACACACAGTACCATAGTAATATGGCCACCCCAACTGCCTTACTGAGCCTATTACCCACAGGGAAGATATCGTTGCTGCACGAGCGGTGCTCGGTGACCAGCAGAAACAACGGGTACTGTAGGTCACACAGAATACTATCACGACAGACTTGAAGTCATTGATAGCGTGTTCGGCATCGACTAAGATGGCTCTTTAGAGGGTGTCTTGAGCCAGCCGATTGAAGATGTCACGTGGGCTGAAAAAATCCTTGCAGCGCACAACTCTTGGACCATGTTTCAATTAATCGATTGAGCGTCGTCACGCTTTGGAGATCGAGCTCGACTTCGCCCAGCCGACCGCACAAGTTCCATGGCCAGAGTCGCTACGGAAATTGTTTTTGGGGCGAGAATTTGACCTCAATACCTCCAAACGTCAGTTGGCCTCTAGCTCGCTTGTACTTCAAAAGCGCGCGTCACGTGCGCTAAGTAAATCGTGCGGCGAATAAGTCTTGGACCATGCCTCAATCAACCGATTGAACGTGGCATTCGACCGCCACTTTTGGAGATCGGGCTCTATGGGGACGTCGTCCAGCCGATCGAACAAGTTTCAGGCCAGAGTAGCTACAGAAATTAGTCTTGGGCGAGCATTTGACCATATTATGTTCAAACGTCAGGTGGCCTAGCGAGCTAGGCTCACTCACGTTTGGAGATATTATGGTCAAGTGTTCGCCCATGGTCAAGTCCCTTAACGACTCCGACCAAGAAACTTGTTCGGTTGGCTGGTCGAAGTCCTCGTCGAGCTTAAACTTTGCGAGTGGCGGCCACTTGACTTGTTCAATCGGGTGATCGAAAATTTCCCCAACAGTAGTACCCTGCATCGTTTTGTTCCACGTAGCATCGTCAATCGGATGGCTGAACATCAAAACCAAGCCCAGCTAACGCAGATCGGGTGGCCACATGCCCGCCCGGCTGGTTGAAGATGCCCTTGAATGACAAAATCTGAATCGACCCCGGCTACGTGATAGATTTGATCAGCTCGTCGAAAATGCGCCGAAAGTGAGATGACGCCGAGAGTTAGGCCATGAAGTGTACCAGCGTAGTCGATGTTGGTACCCCTTGAAAAGTCAACGCGATGGTAGTGCTTGATCAACAACGTGTCCAGTTCGCATCGGCCTTGGTCAATGAATGCCTCTCGCACGATTTGTTTTCCCATAGTCCAGGTGTTGTGGACAAACACAAGAGAGGCTGCTCACATAGTCTATGCCCGCAAAACAGTTGGATTCCAGTGTCGAACTTGGAACATATTGTGGGATTCCTTTCCCTCCCCCCGCATCTACTGCCGTCGTTCCATCATGCCCACTCGACTTCTTAGGGGCGGCAAGAAAGCACTGCCAATTTACTCAAGATCGAATTCCGCAGGACACCCGAACATGCACCTCACCCCCTTAACTTCCGGTGTTTTTCGGCTATTACTCCACCACCGGAACTCGATTCTTATGGCCGGCCACCAGTCTCACCGGGTCTGGCTTGAATCACACTGAGAGCAACACTGACCAGGCGTTCCATGGAGGGAAGGTCTTCGTGTCGACACTGGAACGACAGCTCGTGGTGTTGGATGTATGTTCGGCTTGTCGTCGAACGTGCCTATACGCTGCGGGAGAGCGCGGTTCTCTAACAGGCTGCTATCATCGATGCTTCGCGATGCGAACCCTTCCAGAGAGCTCATCCAATGCATTGCGCTTGCCTAGACTTTGGCCACCGATTATGGACGGAGAGTTCGTGACGGAAGCCTAGTTACTCAAGCGCCACAACCGTATTGATTTCGGAAGCGCTGTAAGCATCGAATTTCGAGCTTTTTCGTACTAGTAGAGACATTCGCCGATACCTCAGCGCCTCGTTGTCTGCGACGGCTCACATTTGGCATGTTCAACACCACCGATCGAACCAACACTACCGGTATTGCCTCCCATTCGGGTACATTGGTGTACCGTCAGCAGAAACACGGGGCGAACATGCCCCCAATTCCACACTTCATGAACGCTCGTCGGCTGAGCTACAAAAGACTGACCGGATACCTACCCGCTTTCCACCTAGATTTCAACGAGGATTTCAACGTGGGCGCGCACACGCTAACAGGACCAGCAACACTAACGTCAACACAAATAACAATAACCAAAACAACACCCACGGTCACGAACGATCGTCGCTCGCCCGAACGTACGTGATATCGAACGCTTAACAGGCCCAAGCCGCCCCACTTGTTCTCCATATGCCACATCGGACGGAGCGAATCGCGAGATGCAGTGAGAGAGAGCATGACAGGGCTCCATAAACTACCTGCTGGCGGATTTTGCCATACCTGCCACCGAATGGGCACTTCGCCGAATTCTGTGCCCACCGTGTGCGTGGTCTTGCACTCGAACACGGAACGAATCTAGCCCCCACTCCACGCTTTATGAACGCTCATCGGCTAAATCAAACCGTCAAGATTCCTACCCGCTTTCCCCCCAGATATATACATGGATTTCAACATGGGTGCGCACACACTCATAGGAACAGCAACACCAACATACACACAAACAACAAAAACAACAATAGCCAAAACAGCACCCACGGCCACGAACGATCGTCGCTCAATCGAATGTACGTGATATCGAACGCTCTGCAGGCCGCAAGGCACCAATCGCCTTCCCAATATTCTCTCACCGGACGGAGCGAATCGCGTGATGGTGTCTCATCGAGAGGGGGCACTGGCTCTCAATAAACTACCTGCAGACAGATTTGACATTACCTGCCACCAGATCGACTGCTACCAGGACTCGTGTCCATCGATCGAGTGGTCTTGTACTCGAACTCGGAACGAGCCCGGCCCCCACTCCACATTTCTTGCATGCTCGTCTGCCAAATCAAACCATCAAGACTGCTACTCGCTTTCCCACCAGACGTATAGATGGATTTCCACGTGGGCACACGCACACTCATAGGAACAGCAACACCAACATACACACAAACAACAGCAAACACAATAGCCAAAACAGCACCCACGGCCACGAACGATCGTCGCTCAATCGAACGTACGTGATATCGAACGCTCTGCAGGCCGCAAGCCGCCCGACTTATTCTCAATATGCTACACCGCACGGAGCGAACCGTGTGATGAAGTGACAGAGAGAGTGGGACAAGACGCTATAAACTACCTGCAGACGGATTTGACATTACCTGCCACCAGATCGATCACAACTAGGAATCGGCGTCCCATCGATGATGTGGTCTTCTACTCCATGGAGGTCACACGACATATGTTACTCGCGTAACCCTCGCGAACATTCCCGATTTTAGTGTATCCTGGCAGGGTCCCGCACAAGGCCTGACGACGGTCGCGTGCACATCGGCGCTCTTCCTCTCGTTTCCCCTCTGTTGTACCCTGTGGACCGTGCTGTGGAAGAGCTCAGCTTGCTGGCGGGGTGGTGGCAGCCGTCGTTCGGATTGGACACCCATCTGCGTTACGTTTCGTGGGCCGTGTGGGGGAGGGACGGCAAGGAAACAACAAGGGGACGAGGAAGTGCAAGAGGTTTGAGTCCGGCGCGTTGAAGGATGGAGCGCCCGTCAATAGACAGGGGACATCTGCCCTCTGCTATCAAGAAGGGTTAGTCTCGCCGCAGAAACAGGTCTTCTTTTTTTTTTCCCGTCGATTTGTTAGGGTTTGTCGAGGCAAGCTTCCCGCACGCCATAATCCCCCATATCCCACCCCAACAGAAACTTTAGGGGAAAAGTTGTCAAATATATCTTCACCTGCGTCTATCGCACCTCTTCCGAATATTGCTGGACCGTTGTGCTGCTCCTGCTGCAGTATCTTGAAAGCCTGTGAACTGTACCCGGTGTCCACTCCCTCCTTCCTATTTAGGTGCTCCCAGGAAACTCATGTGTCCACCTCCCGGGGGACGATGAACAAGGAGCTTTGAAGTGCGTGTGGGTTCCGTGTACATGATTGTGCTGGACATGCTGGACGCAGATTGTCGTGCGAGTACTTCCTTGATCGGCACTCAGGAGGAAAGGAAACAGGGTAACCGCTGCCGTGTGTTCCAACGAAACACTGTCCAGAACTGCCGTTTGTCTATCGGGCCCTGGGCACACAATCTGTTAATTATATATGGCAATCCTATAGTTGTTTACGTATTCGGTGCTAACCTAGAACAGTCTATCTAGCGGTTTGGATGCAACAAGAGATGGGGCTTTGTAGGGACCGCTAGTTTTCAAAGTGCGCCCACACACACGCCGGGAAATTCAAGCAACGACCCTGGTTGCGATGCATGACGTTCTGTCACCTGTCTATATTTGACATGACTCAGCTTTTTTGCAGAGAAAGTATGTCACAAGGTCAACCCACAGAGAGGCACCCACCATGCACCATCATCAAATAAATAGGGTGTGTTTTGTTATGTTTTGTTTTGTTTTGGGTATTTTCTAATTTATTTGTGGTTCTGGGGACGCAATAAATAAATGGTAGCGGTTGTTGGACTCCAAGTTAAATAGGAGTAGTAGTATCTACCGGTCACGGCTCGAAGACCACTTTTCCAGTACAATAACTACGACATATCACATAATAATGGGTTTGGGGTGTTGCTTGTTTTTGTTTTGGGCAATTTTTTTTTTTCAGGTTTGTGTCGGTGTTTTTTATTTTTCAGGTTAGGGGACGCAATATCAAACACACGGTGATTCGATCTACACTTTCAAAGGGCGATGAGGCGTGCAACTCAACTTTGTTTTGATGTCGGTCCCACGGTGAATTCCAGCCCTTTGGTAGGTGATGGCGTGTAATCTTGTGTCCCTACTGGTCCGTTTCGGTGCGATCTAAGGACAGCGATGGGAACGGAGGACAGCGCGTGGTATTTCATGTTACACCCGTTGCATGCACAGCCCTGATTCTACAGGAGGGGCCCTTTCCCGGTACTGTTCAGTAACAGTCACTGCACATTTCTAACCCTGTAGGCCTCTTGTTCACGCACCCATTTATGCCCCCCCCCGAGAATAGTATGGGAGGCGAAGTGGGCAAACAAGAGGGGTATGTAGACAACCCACGGAATGGGTCAAGATTGTAGAGGACGTATGGAAGGGGTTAGACATCGACGAAGATGAAACGCTGGAAACGGAGGGTCTGCAGGGGTTCAAGGAGAAGATATATGTTGCTTGTGCCGAGAGAGAAGAACATAATCTAAGGAAAGAAACCAAGGATAAGGAGGGTCTACAAGTGTACGGAATGTTGAAAGAAGGAATAGGGTTCAAGGATTATACCTACATGGACCAATGGATGCAGGGACAAAGCTTAAGGTCAAATTCAGGCCTTCGAGAACGTTGACGAAGACATAGGACGGTAGACGACGAAGACGACAAGTTCAAATAAATGTGATTGCGGCTTCGAATGCGAAGACCGTGTTCATGTAGTCGCGGAATGTCCGTGGTACGAAGAGGAGAGGGAAGTGTACATGACTGAGCTGGGAAAAATACAAGGGACGTACAGGGAGATGTTTGAGGCATGGAATAGAGAGGAGAGGACGGTAGCTGTACTGGGGAGTAGGAAGTGGTTTGAAAAGGCGGGAAGGGATATCGTTAAGATAGACAGACTAGGGAAGACACTTTTGAGCCACCTTTGGCAAAGAAGTAGAAAGGAACGATTGGCCATCGGTGATCGATCCTGTGGGAACAATGCTCCGTCCTCTTGAGGACGCGTGGTCAATGGTCTAACCGCTAAGGCATGCAAAAAACATAAGAGTACGCCCCCCCCCTTCATCTCCTTTCCCCCGCCAGGGATACACTCGGTCAAACTACTAAGTATGCGTTAAGAGCAGATGTGACTCACTGCGCAGCGAGCTACAGTTTTCGCCTTTCGGAACGAACTCACGAAGGTTTTGGAGTTTGTTTATGGCCGAAACCCACGAAACATTGATACACACGAAAGGGAGGAAGGTGGGGGACGAAAGATGGGGGTCGAACAAGTTCTGACTGATGTAAACACATCAAACCGTAAACAACACGATGATCGAAACGGCCTTCCAAAAATCCTTAAGGAGTGTTTTATGTTTTCAATCGCACCAAGACTGACGTCTTTTCATTTATCAGCCGTTAGCGAGGTCGATGCTTATAACAAAAACACGGACAAGACAGCGGACAGACCCGACACAGAAACCAGAGTACACGTGCTGCTGCCGACCCGAAGAGCTCTACGCAGAGGCGCACCATGCCTTGTACGGACGGTGAGCTGTGCCATCAACGAGACAGAACGCCGCAAGCCCTTCATGACCACGTCTGCAAGGGAGCGTGTGGCGGGCGGCTCCACGGCAATTGAGCAGCATGTTTGACGACAGCGAAAAGCACCGCATCTGCAGCAAGTGCGTCGCCAAGGCTGGCAAGCGCAAAGCGACACCAGCTGAGGGTGCTGGGGCGGGACGGCGGGACCATAAAAAGACAAAAAAACGAAGGGGGGGAGTAAGAAGGGTTCTGGTTCTCGTGCGCGGCCGGACAACGACACGAAGGTTGAGATTCTCAAGTTGATGGATGCGCCAGGCAGACATGAGATAATTTTTCGCGACGTCGTGAGGGCGGGGG